ATATTATATTAAAAGTAAACCTATTGAAAAACGATTTATTTAAATATTTCTTCACAATATCCACTTTAACTCGATTCTCACTGTTTGGGTCGATTTCATACATATTTAAAACTAAATTGAATGCAATTTCTTTTTTTTTCATTAATTCATGGGATAGTATTCATTAAAATAACGTTATGAATATGCATTCGTGTAATTGTAGGAATTAAAGCCATATTTTTAATTTTTTTTATTTTGTAAAAAAAATTGTTTACAATATAATGATTGATTTACCAAAATTCAACTGCTTACTACTATGAGTTGCGCAAATATGTGCAGCTAAATATTATATACTTTTATTCTGTAGATAATGGTTTATTAGATGATACCAATAGGTCTGTGAAGCTCGGTAAAAAAAAATTATTAATTTTATAGAATTTAAATACGTATGGATTTATCTATGTAATATTTAGAAACGTATACATTTATACTACTATTACGGGTCGATAATAATCGCTATATAATAATTGGGTCATTAAATAATATCAGTCATTTATATATATCAAATAAAAACATTTTGGTTGACTTTTATTTTATTTGGTGGAGACAATTTAATTAAGAAATGATAACCGAACCAAAAATCGGAGTATTTGTTAAAATAATTTATTTTCTCTACTTAAATGTTTTATTTTTCCATGAATATAAATACATTATGCCATTATTGTTGTACAGTTGTATACCTTAAGTTCTGTAGAAATTATATACAAAAGAAAAATTTTAATTTTTTGAAATTTAAAAAAATCATTTTTGGCCAACTATTTTCATTTTCGGACCACTATGCGATAAATACTTCGGGCGAGGACGATGAGCCAATGACCCGCAGCTCCTGTGTATACTGCGTGTTAAATTTATTTCACCGTTGTCACTCGCGCAACAAGATGCGGGGACAAGTTATCGGCAAGGGACACTGCACGCGATCAAATATTTCGGTTTAGGGTATGGTCTACAAGTTATGATTTTGTATTAATAATTTAATTATTATTTACGTATAAATTATTAAATATTTTCCATATTCAGTTTTGAAATCTATGAATAACGTGTAACATTATAATAAGTCTGGTAAATTCTTTGGAAAAGTTTACGTGGATGTTAAAATGTTGTAAAATGCAGTAATCATTCCAGTTAAGCGACTCGAACTTCATTTCTCTCTTTGTATTTCACAACGCTTTTTATTCATCAAAACCGAGGAACGTACAGTATGCACAAGCATTGTGTATAATATTTTGCTTTAATACCAAATCTTCATTGGATGGATATAAAGCCGAGTTTCGACATCTAGACCGGTTTAGTGCCTAATGCCACTGAGTCGAGTGTATCATTATTTTAATTAACATTCCGTTACTGTGGTATAAAGAACTCGGTTAGTAGTACCACGGTTGTTGTTAACTATCCAAACTCACTTGGTCGTGCTCCCCGCTCCTTCTGCTATACCTTGCTAACTTGCTAGTATCGGACGAAGTGCATGTTAAAAGACTTAAGAACGAAAAGTTATTCGTAAAAAGATTTCCTAACAGTGACGATTGGTATAGAGAAACTAAAATATCGAACAATCGAAAGGAATATTAACGTTCTGCATCACCCTTTATGTTTTACATAATTTGTTCAAGTTGAATTGGTAAGATTGTTACTCGAAGTAAAGACTTTTATTATATATTAATATAATATGTTATTCACAGTTTCAATGTACATTATTTGGCTGGTTAATAATTAATTTACATTTGTATTCATATATTCATTCGTTAATCAAATATGGCGTACAGAATAATACGAACATTACGGTTATAATCTTTTTTTATTATAAAATATCGAATTATCAATTTATGTTTAAAATCAAATATCTTACAATTTATTGAACATATAAATGTCATGTTAAAAAAATCCATATTAGAATTTCTAAATATATTCATATTTTTGTTTTACCTATTTAATGTTTTGGTATAAATATAAAAAAACTTAAAAAGGGCGTAATAATATATTATTGTTCGGTTTGTATATTTATTGACTGTTTCTATTTAATATTTTAACATGGACGACAGTTAAATTAGTGGTAATAAAATTAAGTCAAAATCTTAAAAAGAAATCACCTACAATAATACCTATATAAAAGCTGTATTATCGTTATTAAATGTTTACATTTCAAATTATAGGTAATTTGATTTCGTTCTGAACTAAATTTATTCAACTATTATTTTAAGCTTTATATGGCTTAAGACATTTTTGTGCAATTGTTGTTATTAGTGAAAACAAATTCTTTAATTTCAAAGTAAATAATGGTGGATATTACTTAAAATTAAATAATATTTATTTTAGTGTTATATTTCTGATCTTCAATAAAGATTACCCATCAAGTTTAGTTAAAATTACTAAAAATTAAGTTGTAACAACTTAAAAAAATATTGAAATATATTTAAATGTCAAATGAATAAGAACATTGATATCTATATTTTTTTGTTGCACATTTTTAAATAACTACAATAATTTTTTTATAATACTAATGTATTTCTGACAAATTGTATGTATTCATTTTACAGTCATTACCATGTATTATTTATCATTTTTTAAGAAACAATAAGTATCGATTTTTTTCTACGTGTAAATAATATTGTGTGATATTTTGAAAGTATTATCAAAGAAATTAATAAATAAGTAATATTTCCAATTTTTGATGAAATTATCATGAACTATAAATCAAATATACAAAAAAAATTAAAACAATAACTATAGAATTATATTTATTACCTCGCATTTTTAATTTTTTTTTATTTTTCCTTCATTAAATACATTATAGCAAAGAAACTAAGTGATTAAAATATAACTATTAATATAAGAAAACTATCAACTAGTTAAATTAAGAAACCAGATGAATTAATGAATTTGATAATGAAATTAATAATAGAAATGGAGCGGGAGTTAAGGAGGAGATTAGAAGGATAGTGGAAAAAAATATGGTTGAAGTCGCAGAAGGTGTCATCTTGTTGTCATCTATATAGAGGAAAAAAGTTAAGTGAGATCTTAAAGGCATGGTAAAGAAGAAGAACGTGTCCTATTCGAAGGTGGGTGAAAACGACGATTAAGCAGCACTTAAGAATTATTTGTCACAAAAAAACTTATATGCTAGTCCAACTAAAGATGATAGGCCGAATAGGTTGATCAGGTGGTTTTTTCCAATCGAGATAGATTTTAATGACTTATTCATCAATTTCACAGAAAGCCGATGATAAAGCAATCGGTCTCTAAGCTGTGGGAGAAGAGTTAGGTTAAGGGATAAGAATGACATGATACTTTTTTCAGGAATCTAAAATAACGTCTGAGACTCAGTTGTCTTTGAGGATATTTATAAGGCAAATTTTTGATGCGATGACTGAAATGTCAACTAAACCACAAGCTTTTAACGACCGGGAAGAAATTGTTGAAATGAGCTCTTTGAGATTGAGAGGTATAGTTAGCAAATCTAAATAAGGATGTGGATAGTTGATATTGGTTGGAGATGTGGATAGAATTTCTAGTAGGAAGAAAAGTATGGTTGTGATACTTTACTACAAAATAACGGAAATCATTTTTCATTAAGCGAAGTATTCGTTTGATTGTCAATTTTTTAAAAAAATTTGGCGGTGTTCTACAATTCGCAAACAAGATAGAGTGGTATAAAATTTGTCCCAAGAATTTTTTTATGCCGTTTTTAGGATGCGTTTGGTTTTAATGTTAATATTATTATAAGAAAGAAAATTTAAAGTGATCCCTGAAGTCTAAAATTGGCGTCCGATCGAATTTCGATAGCTTTGGAACAAGTTCAATTCCACCAAATCGGAGAGGTGGAAGGTAATATGGAGGAGCTTCGTTTAGTAAGTATAGTGTAACTAGAGGTGGTGGTTAAAAAGGCAACAAAATTATTATAATCGTTTATTTGAGAATTAGAGAAAGAGTAAGAATTAATGAGAGAATCTAAGTGCGAGAAAAAAAGAAGCTAGTCAGCACTGGAATAATTTAATTTTAGTTCTGCAGCACCCTGATGACTTGAAGGTACGATGTTTGTCGAAGGCGTGATTATTTCGATTATCAAAGGACAGTGATCGCTTCCGTGAGGATTGTCTAGGGGGTACCATAATAAAGACAAAAGGAGAGTGGTATCTACGACCCTAAATTCCACTATGGTATTGGCAAAAAAGGGGTGGTTAATGCGCGTAGGAGCCCTGGAGTTGAGAATAATTAGATTAAAATTACATAAGGACGAGTAAATAGAACCATCGCGGTGATTATGATTATTACAATTGTCTCAAATTGGGTAATGACCGTTAACATCTCCACCTATGATGGAATTAGGACCAAAGACATGATAAAATATTATTGAGTTAAGTCGTAGTAGGGCTAAAAGATGGAGAAATATATAGGGACCATAATTTGAATGCATGATCGGAATTAATGAAGTCCTTTATTCTAACTAAATCGATGGATTTTAGTAAAAAATCATTTTTAAGTATAACGTCAGTATAAATCTCTTTGAATTGAATAGAATGGTGAGTGGCAATTAAATTTTAAGACCACAGTATCTATTGACTTGTTTAAATCGAATAAGATTATAAATTAGGCTAAGGACAACTTTTGTTGGGGCTAAAGCCACGTTTCAACAATAATTTCAATAGAATATACTTCAAAATGTAATAGCGAAGCGAGTTCCAATGAACGAGATCTGATGCTTCTGAAAATTAGTTGTAGAATTTTTTTTGATCAGTTCAGTTAGTAGGACATTGAAGTGATAAAGAATTACGATTGTTAGTACGTCTATTTGTCATCGGAGATAGAAGATAAACATTTAAGTAAAGAAGATCCAAATAGAGATTACCTCGTATTTTATACAAAACTTTAATATTTCACTGTTATTTTAATATTCCAATACTTAGAATGATTTTTTTAATTTTAAATTTGATTCTATTTTCATTAATCTTTTTTTTTTCTTTTGACAGATAGTGGCGAACTACATTGGGGTTAAACAATCGTTAGAATACGTGCCAGGAATGAGTATTCACTGGGCTGGTGGTCGAACGAATCCTCCTCCAGACACTCCCGCCTGTGGATTTGACAATTCCCTCTGCAAAAGTAATGATTTTTATATTGTTTTTAAGGTTTCGATTGTTAAGTTCTGGATATTTAGAAATAGTGATATTGGATGCGTGAGTTTTTTTTTTTCATTAAAAAAAAATCACTTCTTGAGAGACGTCTTAAAAGTTTCGGCATTATGTTCATATAAAACGGCCGGTAATCGCAGGGAGTTTTATTTCCGTTATTTTTATTTCATTGTTTCAATTTTCCGGTGAAAACATTCACACTATTTTTATTTTTCCCACTTGTTCACGCTTAAAAGAATTCTAAACATAATCCATGAAAATGTTCTTAATACCTTTTATTTTATACATGTTCTCATTTTATTATACGTTTAGATCTACCCTTTTTTCAAACCTTTTCGTATTGACTATTTTTCTTTTATTTATTTTTATAAATTTCTCTATTATGTACATTAAATATAAATTTTCAATCTGTTATACTCGTATTTCTACATATTTTAATTGGCTTTCTGTTTGAATGCCTTTTTATAACAGTACAAAATAATAAATATTTTGTTAAATCTTGAAAATATTTTAGAATTATAATAATTTTTTTTTTTAAAGATAATTTCATATTTTAATGAATGTTAATATAAAAATTAATTAATTTTTTACAATTTTTTTAAAATAATGTTCAGTTTTTAATTAATTTGAAAATTATTTTTCTAGCAATGCCTGGTTATGCGATACTCAGTATTGTCCTCAGCTCAGTTGTAGTGATCCTAGCAATAGCATCAGCCCTCATTTACAGGTAATATATATTTTAATATAGCTACAGAATATATAATAAAAATGTAAAAATGTGAAGTTTTTTTTTATTTTAAATAATAATTATTATTTACTTACAAAACATAATTCTCACCATGGGTTCACCATAAAATTTCTAATTTATTTTCGTGCTGAGTTTTTCCTTTCCGTGTAAATAAAAAACAAAACACTGCAAATACCAGTTTAGCGATCCTGTATTTTTTATTATTCCTTCGCACGTATCCTAACTGGCTGCATTATTAATGGTCTAATCAAAGTATGTCATCTTGATATTGCATTTATGCTTTGGATCATCTGAAGCCTTTTTTATTAATATATTTCTTTTTTAAACGAAAATGATACTTAACAAGGTAAACTTCAACCGCCAAATTGATATAACTTTCAACCATACATGATATAATTTTTCAAACAATGATATTGTTTTACATTTTTTATGATTGTTTGTTTTATTATTGATATATTTAAATTTTTTTATATAAATTAATTGATTGTTTTTATTATAAAAATAACTATTTAATTATTTTCTTTAAAAATGCAATAGTATCAGTAATTTTTAATTTATTTTTATGATAATTGTGAAGTGCAAAAAACTGCATTTACATTTTAACTCCAATCGCAATGATATAATAAATTTAAGGCCGTCATGATATTTTGTTTATCAATTTATGGCCTGTTAACTAGTAGTATCAGTAACAATCTTTAGCATTTAATAATGGTCATACGATAGTAATAGTAATAATTATTGTATGACCTTTATTAAATTATTATGATAAATTATTAAATTTATCAATTTTTTTGTCAATCTTACAAATTAAGATGGGTGAGTCTAAATTTTACTTAATTTAAAATGTATTAAAATTGTTTATTTAAATACTGGACCCAAATCATAAGTTTTCATAATTAGTATTTTATGGCCTATTAATATAATTAATTTAAACAGTATATTTTTGGTACCTGAATATGTTTTTATCAACCTTATGAAATTTTAAGTGTTAAAAACGAGATACTTTATGAATTATTTCACTCTTTATTCATAAGGGTACTAATAAGAATTTTAAATTCTTATCCTCAACAAAAAAGATTTTTAACAGCATTGTAAAATAACAAAAAAAATCTCATTCCATTAATGTTAAATTGGATGAAAGAAGTTTTATGCATATAGTAAATATGTTTATTTACTTGCATAGTACTCTTTCGTACTCATGAATAATTATGTATATTTCACAACTAACTGCTTAGACCGTAATTTTTGGAAAGTAAAATTGCACTTATTCTACTTTTAATATTCTGCTCCCGTTTGGAAACTTATATCTAAAAATAGCAATAAATATACCGTTTGTCACAATATTACATTATTTTTTTCAATTAATTAAAAATTAATTTTCATTGGATTATAAATAGGTACTCATTCCACGCATTTCATATATTTACATACATGAAATATTTTCGAACAATATGTTCATAATTTAATTAATATTTTCCTATATGTTAATCATACATAAATGTATACATTCATATAAAATACATAATAATAATGATTAGATTAAATATCATTATTAATTAATATTGTAATTTAAATGAAATTTTTGCATTAAATTGTTTTGTCGAATTCATCATGCAACGCACTGCGAGAATTAGATAAAGCTTAGTGCCTACAAGTGGACGTGACAAGGCTACTGAGATTTGGAAATTTCTGTCGTATTAAAATTGATGAATCTGGGGATACCTATTTCCAAGCATTGTAGAGAACACTAATAATTAAAACTCCAAACGACCAAAAGATGTTTTTGAAATTTGAATATTTTAATGTAGTCAAAAAATTTTCATTTTTTTTTTTAGGAATAGATTATATGGTACTCTCACAAAATCTTTTATTCTGATCGAATAAAATATAAATTAATAAAAAAAAAAAAAATGAATTTATTCGACCGTGCATCAAAGTACATTTTTACACTAACTTTTCATTACTAAATGTTTATTAATCGGGTTAAGCTCTTATATGGGACATTTATGTTTGCGATACTGAGAAGAATTTTTTTTTTGTATTCTTTATTGACTAGTATTGAGTCAGTATCAATAATCCTTTATCTATCTCTATAAACAATTAATGGTGCTTGTTAATGTTTTTAATCAAAAATAATTGAAAAAAATTGTTAAAAATAATTCAAGTATAAAATATCGCTTTTTATCATTTAAAATATATGAAAAACATTTTTAACATTTTTTTTATCTGAAGTTTTTCTTCGTTAAATAAACAAATATTTAATTTAAAAATTTCACAAACATTTGGATACATTTATTAATTGAATTATTTAGTGATATATCATAATTTGTATTTATAAATAATTATACTATTGTTTTATTCATGCATTTACATTATTAATGAGATAGTTTTGATTAAAATCATTTATTTTATATCATACGAGTATTTTTATGTATTATATTATAAAACAGAGGCGGTAAATTATTTTGACGCTACGTGCCAAAAATTACTTTTTTTTTTTATTTCAATTGTACCATTAAATATTTAAAAAAATACATATATTTATATTAATTATTATAAGATAACATTTATTATTAAAGTATTAATATAAAAAAATTTAATATTTATGTAAATATATAATTACATTACTTTAATTATTATTTACCTTCTCAATGTGATTAATTTTGTTGAATACTTAATAAAAATTATTTGATATTTGGTTTATAATTAGTAACTTTAGTACAGTACATACGTCAATACATTAATTACTTGTTTAATTTCTTAAATCAGATTTTATGAAGTTCTTTTTTGAAAATAGTGACTCACTTGAATAATTTTAAATAAAAATAGACAACATTTTTAGTGCTACTACGTTTATATTGCGTCATGTTACGTTTAGTATGTTTTCTACGCTTTTAACGAATCTACAATTTTAATTTTTTGAAAAACGTCATCGATAACGAAAATGTTCCAATATTATGAATTTGTATTTTATTATAAAAATATAATTTAAAAATTTTAATTTTTTGCGTATCCTCAACATTTATTTTTGTAAAATCTCGTACATGAGCACCATAGATTTTTGGTATATAATATTTATATAATTCAATATATCATATTATAATCAATGGTTAGATCTGATAATAATGATATGCATTATTTGTCATAACTGCTTAGTGTTTACTGTTATGACAGCATTTGTTTTTTGTGTTTTAAATTTGATAACAATGCATATTTTAAGTGTGTTTTATTCTAGGTTTATCGAAAAAACTTATTAACTTATCACTTATTTTTCAAAAAATTAATGAGTTGGTCCATTATTTATTTTTCTGTGATTTTGATTGTTGTTGTTTCTTAAAAAGTTTGAATTATCTTCTTCAAATTTTTTTTTTAAGAATTCTAGCCGTTGATCCTCATACAAAATCCTGTTTATATTGTTATATGTAGAGTGCAATTTTATAAATTAATATTTAACATTTATGTTTATGCTTCAAAATGTATTTAATAGGTGTTTGAAATAGAACTTTTAAAAATGTAAGGCGGTAATTTACAGTTTATGTGACAGAAATCGAACAATGCGATTTCCATAAATTTTTCAAGTTAAATAATACACTTCAGCTGACAAAAACAAATGTTCAAATATTGTGTTTTTCGTGCTTATCAAATATGTCGTGTCTTTGAAAACAGTTATTGTACATATATATATGTCATTAATAATTTCGTACACATCGTTTCTTGAATTAGAACATGGGCGTATACGCAGAACGCATCAACCATAATAAGAAAGCCATATATTGAATTAACGTTATTAATTGTAATCTTACCACTATCAGGTATACTTTATTTCATAGCAAAATAGTGTAAAGTATCACGGTTTTATAATCTAGTTTTATGTTTGAAGTAATCGAATTAGATATTTGATAAATTCATTAGGAAATACGTGTTGTAACAGATCGCATTCAGTGTTTTGAAATTTTAATTTACGTAAAACTTAATTAAAACTGAAAATTACCATGAATTTATTATGAAAAGAGTTGTCATTTAGTTGAAGTTTGTACTGTATTCGAAGAAAAATATAAAATGCTCATATAAATTATAATTCAAAATGTATATTCAGTTTTCCAAATGTACTATACAGTAATGAATACGATAGTGACAACACGTTTGTTCGTTTCCACTATACCTACTATAATTTCATTTATTAGTTCATCATTACTGTAGTTATTTTGATTTTATAATATTAGTTAGTATGGAAGTTTATAGACATCAGCCAAAAAGTATATGTGATCGTTATTACTGTTATCACCACTTATTATCCTCTGGTTACTATTCGATTCAATTTACTATCGCTATTCTGCTGCATTGACCTTTATAATACTACTATTAGGCCAGTCGCTGATGGGCAATTTTCAGTTGTGTAATAGTTACGCAACAGTCTTATCATAACCGCGATAACATATGCAACTAAGGCAATCGCATAATCGAACGATTTTCGACAAAACACAAATCAATTAGCTGGTCAAACTGATCAGTTGCACGTGAGCTTATTGTATTATACCACTGTGGAAGCCACTTATGCGATTAAGCTGTTGAGCAACTGGAAAACTCAGAGACTACTATGTGTATACATTTCTAATCATACATAATAACGACGACATCGACTTTTAATTCAATATCAACTTAATTTTATCAATCAGATTAACAAATGACACACAAAAATAATATATAATATATATATATACAGTGTCTAGATTTTAGTAAACTTATATAATTCATTCCATCAAAATTTTCCATTTAAAAATTCGGCATCACTTGACAATCGTCTACTCTCAGCTGTTCGGTCTGCTTCTCTTGTTATCGTTCTTTTCGCCTGGATATACATATCAAGGACTTTATATATAATAATAAGCCAAGCAGTGACTGCATTTACTATATCCATTCTATTAATATGTCTACTATGTCAAATACTACAATGAATCCAAATAAAACACAAATATTCA